ATATTTTTTTTTGGGAGAGGTTTTTGCTATAGGGTGCATGCACTCGCCAGAAAGACAGATACAGACAGAGAGATAGAAGCCAAGAAATCACCCCCCGGGGGTGGGGGATGGCCACGCCACAATCCCTTCTCTATTCTCCTCTCGGGATCTTAGGCACGCACACACATGTGCCCGGCTTGAGTTTAAGCCACCGGGTCTGGGACTCGAACCACAGTTGGCTACATGAGAGTCCAGTGACATGGGACAGCTAACTGCTGGTCCCCAGAGCAATATATTTTTTAAAGAATTATTTAATTGTATTCATTGTCATTTTTTTTTTTTTGACATTGACCAGAGAGAGACAGAGAGAGAGAAGGGACATGAGAAAACAAGTTGCCAGGACCGGGACTTGAACCATGGTCAGCCATATGGGAGTCCAGCCACCTTAACCACCATGCCACCTGTTGGCTCCCCAAAGCAATATTTTAAAAAATTAAAATAAATGCCAAAAATTCAACATAGCCAACATATTAGATAAACACGAGATCAGTACAGTACAGTGATGAGCCGTGTTGGAGCCCAAGGCAAAAAAGATAAATCAATATTTAATTGTCTTCATTTTAAATATTTGTATTTTGTTCATCATAGATATTTTACATGAACTTTTTTTTTTTTAATTATGTTATTTGGGGCCAGCAGGTGGCATGGTGGTTAAGTCAATGGGGGACTGAATGTGGTTTGAGTCCCAGACCAGGGGGCCTGAAACTCACACAGGGCACATGTGCATGTGTGCCCACCCCAGGAGGAGAAGGGATTACAGCGTAGCCATCTCACTTTCTGTCTCTCTTTGTATCTCTAGTGAACATGTGTGCCCTATAGCAAAAATCTCTCTCAAAAAATTATTTTATCTTATTTATTATTATTATTTTTAAAAATTTGACCAGAGAGAGAGATGGGGGCAAGCCGCCGGGTCCAGGATTCAAACCATAGTTCACCATGTAGGAGTCCAGTGCCTTAACTACCACATCGCCTGCTGGCCCCAACTTGATTTTTTAAATACTGCATTAAAGGGTTATTGCTCTTGATTTTTCTGAGGGTTTTTGTTTTGTTTTTATTTCTCATGAGACCGGCTCTCATTCACTGCACTCATGTCCAGCCCTGGCAAAAAGTCCAGGAGCCTTGGAAAGTGAGTCTGAGGGCCTGTTTCTAGGAGTCCCAGATCATTCGCATATTCGGCACCATGATCAATCAGAAGCTTCAGGACTTTGAGGAAGAGGTGAAGCCCATTGGGAACGTGGTAACCGAGGCCACCCTGGACGTGTACAATACCGTGGTCCAGCGCTTTCTGCCCACACCCGCCAAGATCCACTACCTCTTCAACCTTCGTGACATCTCCAAGGTGATGCTCCGGCCGGTCGTGCCCCTTCGGCTTGGACCGGTCTCCTTAGACCAGTTCTCTTCTTCAAAATAAATCTTAAAACATACTGCTCACCAAAAGTCACCCACATCCTGAAATGCCACGTTCTCTGCCCTTGCCTCTAAACCTCTGGACAGCGTCACTTCTCTCCCACCTCCCAGGAGCCCTTTCTCGTCCCCAGGTGTTCCAGGGCATGCTCAGAGCGAACAAGGACTTCCACGACACCAAGTCCAGCATCACACGGCTCTGGATTCATGAGTGTTTCAGGTGACATGCACGCACCTGGCCGGATTCAGGCTTCCTCAGCCCCTCTCCCACCGCACCGCCTCGCTTCGCCCTGGGCCCAGCACTCTCTTCCCCGGGGCTGTTCTCCCCTTCCCAGATCTTACCCAACTCCCTCCCAACAGAGTCTTTTCTGACCGACTGGTCGATGCGGCAGACATGGAAGCCTTCGTGAGCATCTTAAGTGACAAACTCGGCTCCTTTTTTGACCTCACCTTTCATAATCTCTGTCCCAACAAACGTCCTCCTATCTTTGGTAAGCTGAGAGCTGTGATTGCCACAGGTTTGAGATTCGTAGAGACTGAGATTAGAAGGAGAGCCAGGGCATGGAGTCCCGATGCTCGGGGCCCCGCAGGGAGCTCTGGAGAGGACCAGGCATTTGAGGCTCTGACCTCTTTTCCGATGGTCCAGGGGACTTCCTGAAGGAGCCCAAGGTGTATGAAGACCTGACAGATCTGACCGTACTGAAGACAGCCATGGAGACAGCTCTAAATGGAAACAA